GAAATGGTCGAAATTACGTCATATCACATGATTTTTTATATATAGAAAAAACAAAAAAAACAAAAGATGTACGATCTTGGTCAATATCGCTCCGATTCGTATGAAACAACTACTATTCAATTCCCTCGACTAGATGAATCCAATGAATAAGCTAACATTCATTGATTTTGGATCAGCCCATCTCGAGATATTAGCGATCGTATTTCGAAATCCGGACTCTATTATTTAAAGTAGAATTTATTGATTCATAATTTCGGCCGAAAATACAATTGCGACTATCTCATGATTGGATGATCCAAAATCAATGAATGTTAGCTCATTGGACCCGTCATGTTGCAAGGAATCGAATGGTAGTTGTATTATACGAATCGGAGTGATATTGACCGAGTTCGTACATTTTTTGTTTATTGTTTTTTCTCAATATGAAGAATCATGTGATATGACATCATTTTGACTATTTCGCGACTTTAGCCTTCAATGGTCGAAATGATTTTGACCATTTTGACCATTTCGGATATCCGAAATGATCCATTTCAACTTCATGTATAATAACAACGTTAATAATAATTTGGGGCTATTTTTTTTTTATTTATAATTGTTTTTTTTTTAACTGTATATATATATATTATATGGTTTTGTCATAATAATTTATCCAATAAATTTATCAAACTTAAAAATGAATATAAAAATTTTTTTAAAGCCTATATTTAAAATATTTCAATATAGTAATTACTACGATCAGAAATTTAGATAAAAAGTTATTAAATAATAAAGTTTAGGTATTTTTTTAAGTGAAAACAGATTTGAAATATACAACTCCGGCTAGAATTATGCTTAATGTAGGTTATATACGTAAATAGTTTAGATTGTATACATATGTTGATCAACTGATCTGTTTTTTTCTCACTAATTGAGTACCTAAAATGACTAACTCAACATTGTCAAAAAATAGTAAGAAAAAAGAACTTCAAACTGCAAAAAATAATAATGATACCTATTGCAATGACAATTTAAGTTCAGATGATAGAATTAGTATAGATAATGAAGTTGGATGGACTGATGAGAATGAGGCGAAGCAGCTTTTTTTAGTTTTAACTAAAAATATAAAAGCATTAAAACATTTCAAATATCAATTAGTAAATGTAGGAAACTCACGAACAATAAAATACTAAAAAAATCTAAGCAATAGAAAATCAAAAGAAAAATAGCAAACACTCTATCAACTATTAAATAATCAAAATAATACTGGTGGTGGTTCTTCAGGCAATAGTTTTGATAGTGATTTCTTTAGTGATGGTTTTTCTGGTGATTCCTCTAGTTGTAGTTCTTCTGGTAGTTCCTCTAGTGTTGATTCTTCTAGTAGTTTCTCTAGTAGTGATTCTAAATTCATTAATGCTAATAAAACTATAAAAATTGCATTAATTAATAGAATTGAAAATAAACTAAAACTTAAAAGTGAATATTTAACTCCATGATATAACTTGTGACTTATAATTATTCAACATTATTTACAACTTCTTAATAAAGAGCATGCGAAGTTAGAAGCAAGTCAGATTGTTGCAGACCTATTAAATCGAGGATTATGGTTTGCTCATTATGTTAGAAGTTAGACTAAAGCATTTATTGAATATGATGATATTTGTAATAGTAATTGTAAAAAATATCTTAGAGAAAGTATTATTAACAATGAAGATGTTCAATTAAAAGTAGCATCATACTTATAATAACATAAATTTGATATATCTGTTTACAGTTTTTGTGATTATATTGCCAATAAAATTTTACTTTCTATTGATATAGAAGAAAAAACTAAAATCAGGTATTTGTTTTATTGTATTTATATTTTATAAATTATTTAATTTAATACATATTTTGCTAAAATCTTTAAGCTTTATAACAAATCTACAGCAATTCAATAGTTAAAGAAAATGGTATTTATTTTTAGTCAATATACAAAAGGAATGTATATTAATGATCATGAGAGAGACAATGTAGTTGCTTATCAAAAAGAATTTCTTGAGACTATAGAAAAGTAAATATTTTATTTTCTTATTATATTTTAATATTTTATTTATTTATATTATTAACATTTTTTTTATATTATAGCTATCAAAAATTAATGCCGAAATTTATTGGTGATAAATTTGAAATTAGGATTGATTTAGAATTAGAAAGTGGGCAAAAATTACACATTCATGTAATACATAATGAAACAACTTTTCAATTAAATGATGAATAAAAATCGGGTTAGAGACCTAAAAATGAACAACCATTATGTAAAAAGAAATAAGAATGCTTTATTCATGTCAGTAATTTTTTAACAGAAACTATTGGAAGATTAAAGTTAAATGGAAATGTTATAGATGAAACAATTCCACATGAAGCTCGTATTACAATTAATCCTGAAAAAAATTTTGATAGATGGTAAAATGTTGATCATTTAATTTATTAGGTAATATAAAATATATATAAATTAATTTATAAAATATCATATTTTCAACCATTATTATTATCTTTATAGATTAAAACTCAGACAATTCCAATTTTTGAAAAAACTCATCCTGAAATAATTGTAGTATTTGCATTTGATAATTCCTCAAATCATGCAAAATTGGCTGATAATACTCTTAATGTAATAAATATGAATTTTAATCCTGGTAAAAAGCAACCAATTATGTGTGATACTATTTTTAATTGACAAATTCAAAATATAATATTTTCTGCTAATTATTCAGATGAAAAACTTTGTGAAAACCTAAAGGAATTAAAATAATTTACAAGAACGTAGTTTATGAGAATTAGAGTTAAAAAGATTTTGTAGTAATAAAAATGTATTATTAGAAAATCCAAAATGTTGTACGCGTCATATTTTAGCTGCTCAAGAAGATTTTCTTAATCAAAATCTAATTTTATAGGAAGTTATTAAAAGTTTAGGACATAAAGTAATTTTTTATCTGAAATTCTATTGTAAACTTAATTATATTGAAATGTATTGGGAAACTGCAAAGTAATATATTCGACAATATTGTAATTATACATGGAAAGGATTATAAGAAATAGTTCCAAAAGCATTAGATTAAGTTTCTTTAAATCATATACGCATATATGCTCAAAAATTAGCAAAATTTATGGAATGCTATAGAATAGGATTAACAGGTTTACAAGCTGTATAAGTTTTAAAAAAGTATAAATCACACAGAACTATTCCAGATTTTGTTTTTGAAAATATCGATGAATTAATAAAATAAAGTTTTTCTCTCAGTTTAAACTTTAATCAGATTTTAAAATTAAATTATATTATTATGTGATATAAACTTTAGCCAATCATAAATCAGTATTATGCTTATCACGTGATTATATAAAATTTTTGAAATTTGAAACGGCTTTTTGATGAAACACAAATTCCCTAATTCGAAACATTTATTGATTAATCCATGTTGATCTGTACGACATACATCCCAATTAATGCGAAAAAGTTAGTAAATAAATTTAGTAATGATCACCACCAATTTTTCACTCAATAACATCTCTTCGTTAAATAACGATGCTTAGAATTATGAAATGACTTATTTACTACTATATTCAATACATCACTTAAACTACTTTAACAAAAAAGGAAATAGAAAATTTTCAAACTGGAATTTTCCAGGTTTAGGTCGTAACACTAATAAAAAAGATGACATAAATTGACGCCATATTGCCTAATTTGTTTAATCCGACCCATCTATTAGTCGTCGATCGTTCGAATGGGGCGATAAATCGACTTATTATTCTTACTTCTCCTCTTTTTGCTTTTACTTTTATTTTTTTTTCATAATGACTTCGATCTTCCATTATGGTCTGTCAAGAGACCTTTCCCTAGCATTAAACGAAGCTGATGATTTTAATGTAATTATTCAAGTTGGCGAAAGCCCAAATACAAAAGAATTTCGTGTGCACTCGGTCATTCTTCGAGCACGATCTCCATATTTCAAAAGTGCGTTGTCTTCTAAATGGATTACAAAAAAGAATGATATGATCGTGTATAATAAACCCAACATAACACCAGTTGTTTTTGACATGATTATAATGTATGAATATGGGTTTTTTTTTTCAAAAAAAATTTTTTTTTTCATTCGATTTATATCTAATTTTAGGTTTAAATTTTATAAATATTTTATTAAATTTTAAGGTACATGTACACGGGGGAACTTGACTTATCCGAACAATCAGGTGAAGATATATTCGAGTTATTAATCGCATCGGATGAATTACTCCTTGAAGAATTATTCAAACACGTTCAAGACTACTTGATCGAAAAGCATACTAGTTGGATTCAGCAAAATTTTGCCCTAGTACTTCAATCCGTATTTAAACTTGCAAATTGTAAGGAATTACAGGATTTTTGTCTTGAATCAATTTGCATGGATCCACAACCATTTTTCTCTTCGAATAACTTTACTTCGCTAGATAGAGACATCTTTTTTACTTTGCTTGAAAGAGATGATTTGCAAATTGAAGAAATTGATGCCTGGGATTATTTAATCAGATGGGGTATTGAACAGACTCCCGGGTTAAGTGGTAATGGAACAAATTGGAACGCTAAGAATTATCGAGCATTGAAAAAAACGTTGAGTTCATTCATTCCTCTTATTCGATTTGTGGAAATTTCACCTGAAGATTTTTTTGATAAAGTTCGTCCTTATAGGGCAGCTATGCCCAATCATATTTATGAGGAAATTGAGGAATTTCATTATAAAAAAATAATACCGAAAACAATAACGTTGCCGTCTCGCATAGGAACGTCAGCATCAACAATGATTGATCCATCAACAATCATCAAACCTAAACTTGCAACCATTATAGCTAATTGGATTGACAAAAATGATTCTGCCGTACTTTCATATAATAATAATTATAAATTTAATATGATTTACCAAAAAAGTCAGGATGGGTTAGATTGTAGAACATTCAATAATAAGTGTAATGGACAAGGACCATTTATATTATTGGTAAGAGTTAAATCAAAAAAAATCTATGGAGGTTTTAATCCGATCGGTTACACTTTGAAGGAAGGGCAATGGTTACTCTCTTCGGATAGCTTTATATTTTCTTTTGAAAATAATCAAGATACGCGTAACATGAAAATTGGTAGAGTCATTAACAAGTCTTATTCGGTTTATGAGGATTATTACCAATTTTTCTTTAATTTTGGAAATCATTTACAAGCTTACAAAGGAAATGGACAAAACTTTTTTTACCTTGGTAATCATCGGATTTATAGCAATATATTTAATAGGTCATGTACTGGTGATTATCCTATTGAAGAAATTGAAGAAATGGAAATATTTAGCGTTGTTAGGAAATAATTTTAATTGTTATCTATTAAATCACCATACATTACTACGTAACAAAATTCGACCAATTATATTATTATGAAGGCCCGGCTAACTTTAATTTCAATCGAAGGTGTCATATGTATATATATAAATATTATCATTTATTAAATGTTTATCTTTAAATTATTTTTAATCAGGAGCGAATTTATTTTGACAAGATTAGATAGTAAAGAACTATAGTATATTTTATTTATTTATATTTTTAATTTAGCTTCGTCACTTAACATTTTACAATGATTGTGGCTTGCACTAATAAAACTTATTTAATGTTCTCAATTGCCTTTTTCTTTATTAGATAAATAAATCAGATACATTTATATTTATTGTAAAGTTTTCATTAAAATTTACTGAAACACAATGATATATAATTTTTCATAAATTCACTAACATTTTATATATTGATATTTGTAAAAATATAAACTTTGTTTTGGATTTCGAAGAAATTTTGATTAAAGGCACCGAATATCAAAAAAAAATTTATACCACACGCACGCTATCTTTTGATACTCTTGCGGCGCTTGTACTATTTGAATTACCTGTACTATAATTCAATTCTATAAATTTTACTTTTAAACAGAATATAATGGGAGTACAAAAAGTTTCCAAAATCTGTTTTAATTGTAACAACGCCAAATGTTAATTTCGCATATCTTTTATTTTTATCCTTATTAGAATTTACTTGAGCGATGGTTAAAACAGGCTATATTTAAAACATTATTAAACTTTAAGTACCTGAAATCACAAAATCTAATTGCTATCAATTTCATTACGATTCTAATGAATTTATTTGCATTTATTATGCTGTTATGATAATTTTGACGCGGATATAGCAGTTCCTATATTAATATCGGACTCGTACTCGTGAATTAAACTCAGAAGAGTGCTCGAAATCAAGAAGAATGAATTTTGAAGTTGTCGGACAATCATAATACGAAACTCTACATTCTTCGCAATTGTTCAATATAACCTAACAAGTTGAAGTCATCTTTCTAAAAAAAGGTCACAAACGAAGCTCTTGAGAGTACGACGTCAGGCCATTATAGTGCTTTGACTATCATCTTCCTCATGAGATTCTCGTTTTTCACCACTATTGTTTGTAATTGACTTTGAACGTTATTTTGAGATTCGTGACCGTTTTTGAATTCCCTACTGTTAGTAGCGAATGAGATAAAAAATTTCAATCGCAAGAAAGTACTTTTTAATATATTTGCGAGTTTATTAATACTTATATTAAAATATATTAATTTATTAACTATTGACTTTTACTCGATAATTCGAGTTATTCAAATCACGAGTTGACGAGTACAATCACTAAAGCGGAAAGACATTCAAAATAGTAAGCTTACGCGTGATAAAGTATGTTGGCATTTTTCACGTGTAACAAAAGGGTATCATTAGAATAGGTACTTGCAAATTGTATTCGCATCTTAGATGCAAAAAGAAATGAGAACTGGCTTAATAAATTTAGAAAAAATCTTAATCGTGTCGTGGTAAACGTAGTTCTGATGTTTCGGATTTTAGGCAACGAAAGAAAATGAACGTTAATATTTCTAAGATTTTTAATATATATATATATATATATTTTGAGATTAGTTCATTTATTATTTCTACAAACTTATTTTATTCAAAGGTTCGAGTCCCTCATTATAATTCATGAAGATATAAATTCATTTATTGATGAATTTTATCCATACCCCTGTTTTCATTAGAAAAAAAATATAGATATCAAATTATAAATGTCCCTTTTACGCGTGTTCCTCGATTGATGGAAAGATTTATTTTTAGTATTTTAAGTATGTGGAGATGTAAATATGGATTGAGAAAAATGATATCTTCTGTATATCATAAGCGATGTCAATCGAAATTATCAAATTACCAAGCGCGTCATTTAAAACAAATGAAGATTTGAGGACATTTAGTTTAATAATTTGTGAATTTCATATGTTCTTCTATCTCAATAAATAAAAGGAACTAAATTTTGAATCAACCGAAAAATTTGCTTATTTTCCAAAGGCTCTCCAAACTTTTGGTTTAGCCTTTATAAAACTGATAAAGCTTTATGATATATAAATGAATATTTTATATAACTTTAAAAACTTCAATAACATTCGGAACAAAGTTAGAATTCAAACTTGAATTTGCCACAATACTACAATCATAAACTCCAGTATAGTTCAAATAAATTGATTGATTTATCATATAAAAAGTACTGCCAAAATTGAATCCATTAGCATTATTTTCATACATTGCATGTTGAGTATCAACTGCGCGACTTATTTTCATATTTGTAGTATCATTATCATTTTCAAAAGAAAATATAAAGCTTTCACGTGTTTCTTGCCATCCTCCATTGCTAAGAGTAAAACCAAGTGGATTATATCCTCCTAAAATTTTTGTTGTTGATTGTTGTTGGACTAACACCAGACATGAACCATGGTTATTACATTTATTACGAAGTGTAATATGAGAAAGCCCATCTTGGCTACTACGATAGAGAAGCTCAAACTTATACATTTTCTTGAGCAGAAGATTAATATCATCTTTTCTTTCGATCCAATGAGTAATTATATTAGCGAGACCCGGTTTGATAATCTGTGATTCAATTCCGATTTGGATTTTCCTAGGTCGTTGAGAAACATTTATTGATTTTGGCAAGGTTTTTTTATAATAAAATTCCTCAATTTCTTCATAAATATGATTTGAAATAGCTCCCTTATAAGGACGAACATTATCAAAAAAATCTTTTGGTGAAATTTCCACAAACCGAATAAGGGGAATGAATTGATCTAACGTATTTTTCAATGCTTCGAAATTCTCTTGATTCAATCTTTCCGTATTATTATTCTTACTTCCCAGCCCAGGAGTTTGTTCAATACCCCATTTAATTAAACAATTCCAAATGACAATCTCTTCGACTTGAAAATCATCTCTTCTAAGCAACTCAAGCAGGAGGTCTTTATCAAGTGATAAAAAGTTTTCCGAATAGATAAATGGTTGTGGATCAGTACAAATTGATTGAAGACACAAATCCTGAAGTTTCTTGCAACTATTAAGTTTAAATACGGAATGAAGAACCTGGACAAAATTATTTTGGATCCAATCGAAATGCTTATCGATTAAGTGAACTTGGACATAGTTGAATAATTCATCAAGCAATAATTCATCAGATGCAATTAACAATCCGAATATATCTTCACATGTCTGCTTGACTAAATTAACTTCACCTGTGTATATAAATCTATTTAAAATTTTATAAATTAATTTGAATTATAATCAAATAAAAATTAAATAAATCTATAATTTAATAATATAACCTACTTTAAAACCATGTCAAAAACAGTAGAAGAAATGTTGGGTTTTTTAAAAATGATCATATCATCCTTTTTTCCAATCCAATTAGACGAAAGGGCAATTTTGAAGTATTGGGAGCGTGCCCGTAAAATAACTGAATGTGCTCGAAATTCTTTTACATTTTGGTTTTCACCAACTTGAATAACGACATTGTAATCATCAGCATCATTTAAGATTAATGAAAAATCTTTCGAAAGACCGGAATGAAAAACTGATGTCATCTTGAAAATATTACGTATTTTAATGAATTATTTTTTTATGAAGAGAGACGAAAATCAACGCCAATTCTAATTAGGTAACTTATTTGTTGCCAATTAATGGTGTAACCAATTATTATAAACCAGTTTGCTTACATAAAACACTAATTTACAGCCGATCTTACTAAATACGTAATTACGATTTTTTTATTATTTTTACATGTAATTGTCAATAATCAATCTGAAAGCGTCACAATTAATCAAAGTAACATTATAGTTTATATTAATAGCATAATCATATAAAATTTCGTGCAGTTTTTATATAGGTGTATTTATTGTTCAGCTATTTAAGGTTACGGCAACGGACGGTCGGTTACTGTAAAGGCCTTTGACCGACCATTTGACCGACTAATTTTGGCTGACGACCTTTAAAATTAATTGGATCGCAGCAACTTTTTATGACTTATTAGTGGATATTTTTCTTATATATACATATTATATTTCATCGCGGACTTTAATTTTTTATAAAATTTTAACTTATTAAATAATGAAATTATTTGATATTTAATATTTATAGTAATCAAAACATTGTTGATCAACCAGTCGGTCAAAATCGGGAAGTCAACCGATCAGAAGCATTAGCATCCCTAGTTACGGTTTTAGCCTCGAAAAATGTCTGACGATTAAAAAACTGCGTCTGAAATCATATTGCTGCAAATGTAGTAGATAGCATGATATAGCGATTATGATAAACATGTAACATTAGCTAATTTCTATTATTTCATTGTTTTATTTTGTTTATCATTTATGTTATATATGTTGTTGTATTATTTATTATTATGAAAATGCGCAGTTTAAATTTAGTATATATATGCTGGAAAATTAATTACAGAAAGATATAGTCCGATCATTGTAAAGTCTTGGTGATAGACTTACGGACTTTCAAATAATAAAAATACTTTTTACACTTTCAATTCTTCCTCTTGTCTCCGCTTGTGATAACCAGTCTACACAATTGAATCGTGATAAATTCATTAGTGATATATTCCCAAGGATAAAGAATTCCGGAATATCGTATTACATTGCATGTATCGTTCGTTACCTTGGTTTCGTTACAATCCCAGGGCTAACAACGGGTATAAATTTTGACAGTTTCTACGGGTTCGACGGATTTCGACAGTTTCCACAATTTCGACTGGTTTCGATCATGGTTTCGACAATTTCTACGTATTCGATGTGTTTCGTTGGATTTCAATTGTTTCAACAATTTCAAAAGATTTCCGGATTTCCAAAATGTATCAATTTTGAGAGAATTGAAAATTATTATTTAAAAAATTATTATGGGTTTTACTAGCCGTCGAAACTTTCGCGGTATTGCTTTAAATAAATATTTGGCAAAGCGGAAATCTAATTTCTATTTTGCCACTTGTCGATCACAACTAATATGCAAAAGAAATAAGAAATATTAATAATGAATTTATGGATCTTCGAATTATAAAGAAGGCTCGAACGTTCGAATAAAAAAAAAGTTGTAGAAGTTCTAAATGTCCTTACATTATAAATCTTCGAAACATTTTCATTTCTTCGTTTAATAAACCATTTTCTAATAATAAGCGGATATTAAGTCAAAAAAAATTTTAAAACATTAAAACGTAGATTTGAGGCACTATTAATTTTATACAAATAGTTTGTAAATTTCATTAATTAATTTATTTGGTAATCTATTTAAACAAAGTAATATCCAAAGCTTTCAAAACTTTTGAGCTGTTTAAGATAAATAAATAACTTAGAAATATTTTATGTAAATTTAAAAACTTTAATAACATTCGAAAATCAGAATTTTAAATTTGAATTTACAATATCTTTCAGATCATAATAACTAGAATGGTTCAAAAATTAATTTATTTATCATACAAAAAGCACTGCCAAAATTGAATCCATTTCCAACATTGCATGTTGAGTATCAATTACGCGACTTATTTCATATTTGTAGTATCATTATCATTTCAAAAGAAAATATAAAGCTTCACTTATTCTTCGCGCCATTCACCATCGCTAGGAAAAAATCAAGCGGATTATATTTCAAAATTTTCTGTTGTTGATTGTTGTTTGACTAATACTAAACACGAACCACGATTATTAAATAGTAGTTTGAGAAAGCCCGTTTTGGCTACTACGATAAAAGCTCGAACTTATACGTTTTCTTTAGCAGTAGATAAACATTATCATTTCCTTCGATCCAATGAGCAATTATATCAGCGAGACCGGTTTGATGATTTGAAATTCAAAATTAGATATGCTTGTTTCCTAGGTCGTTGAAATAATTTTATAGATTTAGCAAGGATATTTATAATATAATTAATTGATAAGCAGCATTATAAGGACGAATCTTATAAAAAAATTTTCGGATGAAATTTCCAAGAGGAATGAATTGGTCTATCGCTTTGTTCAATTCTTGAAAATCTTCCTGATTCCAATTTTTTCTATGATTATTCTTCCTTCCAAGCTCAGAAGATTGTTCAAATATTTGAATTAGAATTATGAATGTCAAGTTACAGTATCTTCTTGTATTATACATATTAAGAAATGTATAATTTTATAATAGGAATTATGGAACATAACCATCAATTGAACCCTTCTCCTCCCCTTTTTAAAATAACATCATTACGTGCGTGCATACCATATAAAGAAAATTGTACATCAAAAATTACGAGACAACTTTATTTAGTAATTTAATTACTTCCTACTTGACGCATAACTGATTTAGATAGTACCGTATAATTTTTTTCATTTTCGGCTGAAAAAATAATATATTGCATTAACAAATTATGTTTGATTAACCTTTTATATATATATATACTGTACTGTATATATATTTTTACAAATCATCCTTATAAATAAACACAAATAAGTTAATAAAAAGACCTAAAAAAAATTATTTATAATTATTTTTATTACATGTAATGGATTTAGACAAATCTATATTTCTATTCGTATAAGAGAATTTCTTAATTTCTTGATCACAATACCACGAAAATAAGGCTAATCTTGACGGTGTGAACAAACACGTCAACATTTTTCATCAATCCATTACATTTAGCAACAATAGTTAAAGTTTCGTGAGTCAGCAGATTTATTGTATCAGTAAGTTACTTTTATATAAATCGTAATTTCTCATGGACAAAAAAATCAGGAGTTAGAAATTTTCACGAACCATATTATAATTAAATGACTCAGCGTTTACTTTTATGATTCAAAATGAACTTGTCTCCATTTCGCCGCTGTATCTTATTCTTGCATCCAAATCCAGGAGTCTATAAAATACCCATTTATTAAACATCTCATATAAGTAAGCCAAAGGGATATCACCTTGAATGAGAAACAATTATTTCAGGTAAAAATTGCTGGGATGCTCAAAAAATCCTAACGTTTGTCCTGAAGTCCTACTGCTTTAAATGAGAATAAGCAACTCCTAGAAACCCGAATCTACTTAAAAACCAAACTAACAAGTTATAATCGAAAGTCTATTAGCTAAAGGAGAAAATCCTTTTGAAATTAAATGTTTTGCCAATGGTTGCCAATGCTAAGTAAATACTCCTTGAATAGAGTTTGGTAAAACCCTAATAAACTAACTGATGAAGACATCAAATACGTACTAACTACTTTTAAAGTAAAAATAATATCACCCAAAAGAGTTTTTTCCAATACGATAAATAATATTGCAAATTCTTGCATTTAGCAAATTTAAATGTGAAGAATAATTATTGTGATCAAGCTTAAAAAAAGATTTTGCTATTAATTTAACGAGAGTTTTAAACTCGATTTAAAATCATAATAAAGACAGTGGGTGGGTTTTGTTTTCCGAAGGGCTCGGGTCGGGTCGGAATACAGAGAACCCGAACCGACCCGAAAGTGTAAAAGAATTGTTAAAAATATTCGGCCAACTATAGCTCAACTCGTAACAACCTAAGTTTACGGAATAATAATAATGACGAGAAACGAATTTCTTCTACCGGGTGTTTTTAATAAAATTTATTACTTTTGAAATTATTTATTGTATATTATAAGTTCATTCTACAATGCTAAGTTAATGCATCGAAAAATAATGCCAATTTAACTTAATAACCTGGATTTAAACACATATATGCACGAAATGTATATTCTTATTTACTAGATAAGCTAAAAAATACTTGCTTTGCAGGCATGATATTCATTTCTTCACCAATATTATGAAGCCAAGTTTTATTTCTAAATAATTTTTTTTGAAAAAAAGTAAATAATAATAACTAATTTCAAAATACTTATGGACAGTAAGACATTTACTGTTCGATGAGTTTTATGTCAAAAAGTTCATAATTAAATTTCTCGTGTATTACAAATTAGGATACGATAACCGGGTTGATTTAATTCGTTGATGTTGGACGATTTAGTTCAATGAATTGAAATTTGCGATTCCGATTTTAAGGCTGTGCAATACTGATGTAATGTAATTATAATTATGTTTAGCAAACAATTGAAGCGCACGATAGAGTCCTATAATTTTTATTTGTTTATTATTATTATATTATGCAAATTCGCGTTGATTACCCTCACAAATATACCTTTATTTATCTTAAAATTTATGGCATATCAGAATATAAGCGCGGTCATAAAGCTTGACCAACAATTTGTTCATGTGCCGGCAGGGCATAAACCACTCCTAAATGTGTCCTCTGGTTAATGCTGAATGAGTATAGGGAAAACCGGTACGGTACGGTTCGGCTGATCAGTACGGTACGATTTTGCAGATCAGTACGAATTTTCAAATTATAATCGTACCGTACTGATTCTATAATATTATTGGGACCAGTACGGTACGATCATATTTTGTACCGTACTGATCAGACGATTCGTACTGATTTTCCTCCCTCGATTTATTTAATTTTTATTAAGTGAATTTTTTTTTTTTTTTTTTTGAAAAAAAACTTTTTTTTTTTATTAAGAACGCTTTGACGAATGCAACATCAATCATTATTAATATCATTGAGATCATTAACATAGGGTATATATAGAAAATCGGGGTATATAGAAAACCGGTACGGTCGGTTAATAGAAAGTATCGTACCGTACCTACTAATCCTATATATAAATTTTCTATTATAGGACCAGTACGGTACGGTACGATACTTTTCCAAATTTTGATCGTACCGTACTGGTCTCAATAATATTATAGAACCAGTACCGTACCGGTTTTCCTCCTCCCTTAAAATTTAATGGATCATCAAAATTAGAACGGATACTTTCAATTTGCAATTGCTGAAGCGTGAATGAATAATGAAGAAATCTTTCAATGTAACTAGGTAAAGTATTATAATTCATTTAAAATATTATTTTTTTTTCGATAGATTGTTCTAAATATTATGAATTTTATACGATTAGCAAGCTAGAATAATATAAAACAATCTGACTTTAGTTTATCTAGAAAGAAAACTGATGATTATAAATGTGCTTGATTTGTTCCTTACATTGGTTCAAAAAAATTTGTATAATATTAAAAAGCCAACTTTAAATATTAAATCCAAAGAAAATCATCGACGTATATATCAAGAAAGATCTTTGATACGGGTAGTAATCTAATGTGATATGTTCAAAATGTAATCGATGTCTTGTTGTCATCACTATTTCCACTTGCAATCTATTGGTTAGTCCATACATTATGAGTTTCAATAAAAATGCCCAAGAAGATGATAACGAGTTGAATGAAAGTGGGTATACTTCACTTAATTACAAAGGTACCTCATTTATGATTTCATTTATGAATTACATCCCAGATCGATAAAAAATTTCTAAAAACAATAAATACAATGAAATTATCTCAACAATACCGATACGTTGTTATCTTACGTGTTTTTATAAATTACGTTAGGAAGGCTGACGATTAACACTTGTATCCATTTTTATTAAGAGGAATGTAATGACAAATTTTCACACACGCCTTAATTAGTCATCTTGTTTGTACAGAGTTAATTACGGCCAAATTCTATAATTCCTGCAGAAAAACCATATGTTAAATACTGGTGATCTATCGTAAACGTAAATCACAAGACCAAAGCTTCATCATTGGCCAGGCGCGTAATTTGTGACAATAGACTGTCTTAAATTATGCACCAAAATTTACTTTTTCATCTCATAACAAAATGTCTTCCGAAGTTGACGCAGGCAGGTTTCAGCATTTCATAAGCTGTTAGTTAGTTATGTATTAACTTTAACATCATTTTTATAAGTAGCTATAGCATCGTATTTGGAAATGTGTCAGGGACAAGGCTCTTATAATAAATTCCTTATCAACAACAAATCACTAATCATATCAGAACTTTCCGGTAGACCGTGGAAGAACCAGAACTTAGTCTGGAAGAATAAATTTATTACGGCTGCAGAAAAAGTTATTGGTGGCAAACATCTGGTTAAACAGGTATTCTTTACATTATTTATAATATTGTTACATAAACGTGAGGGTATCGTCACGTAAACATAGGAGAGTGTTGCCTTCCATAAATACAACGCTTTGTATGGCTTAAATGGCTTTCGTCTTGCATTCCAACTGGTTTCGTGCATGTTGAGAGTGTATATGATGACACAAGGTGCTCCGGCAGGAGTTACCCTGGATTGGTGTACCGCCTTTTCATCTTCTTGCCAGAATTAATATTCTTATACTATAGTTTCAATATTTTTCCTCAGTTGTCTATTACGAAAATAATCAAATTATTTATCATAGCTTCGGGAAGAAGACACAAATGAATGTTTCTGGTTAGAAATTGAAAACTATCAAAAGTTACAACTTCTTAAAGCGAATCAGGTAAGTGGGTTAAGTTGCAGATGTTTCATTATGGAATTTACATATAACATTTCTGTTATTGAAACAGGTAAAACTCAAACGTAAAATTGATCTATTATCGCTTGAAATTCTCGATAGGTCAATTTCCCAACAAGCGAGCGAAATTCTTGATCTTTATGGACCTTCTCAAAAAAAGTTACGTTGCGATAATGAAATTGATGAAAATGATGACGTCATTCATCATGAAAGTGAGTAATTATATCATTTAGTATGTAATCCTATAAAATATATAACTCAATAAAGATTAACTTTAAATAGATATTTCTCTCCAAAACAAAAAAAAACTCGACCTAAAAAGGTTTCGTGAAGAGATCAGTGAAGAGATTCATAAAGAGATATGTCAAGTACGTGAAGAGATGTATGAAAGCTGTAAAGAAATTTTTGAAGACAGCAAAGTAACTAGTAAAGAAATTTGTGATGCGATAAAAGAATTAAATGGCTGGCGAAGTACCAGTGATAAAAAACGAACACAGAAGTTATTATATAGCAATGACAATGTAATATAATTTTTTAATTTGGAGTTTAACGTTTACGATTTGTTATAAACATTTAACTAAATAATGAAATGTATTATTATTTTTTAGTCATTTTATCGAAATAATCAAGAATATAATTCATTTTATTTTTTGAAATTGTATCTTAATCTTTAAGATATTATTAATTTACTGAAATATAATAATCTAGGTCAACGCGATCAGTTCATAATTATACATTATTAAGTAATTAAATATTATTATAAAACTAAAATTTGACAGTAAATTTTAAATCTCGAAAATCAATATTTTTAAATTATAAATAGTTTATTTAACCTATAATTTTATTTGATTTAGATTGCTAATTATTTATAAAACATAAATGATTTTAATTTATTTTGTCAATTAAATATATTTCATATTTATTGTACATTATTATTATCATTAGAATTAATTTTTCTAGTTAATGATACTTAATACTTTGCAAATATTCTGAAATATTATTAGTTTTTTTTTTGCATATGGATCCTGCTTTAGTTATAGATTCATAAGCAAAGTTTTTTTATTATCCACTGGATCGATATTTAACAATAAAAAATTTTATACTAACCATAAAATACTTATATAATCAATGAAAGAAAGTATGATTTTTAGTTGTTAATATTTTCTTGTTGAATAACTTTTTTAAAAAATTTTCAATATCCCTACAGAATCTGCAAAGTAATAACGAAAAGGTTGGTTTATAAATCTTTTCAAAAACAATGCATTACGAGCTAGTCGGAATCCTTCATAAACGGAAGTTTGAGAGGCTTATTATAAATTTAGGAGAAATATATACAATTGCTTTCTTTGAAGCACAACAAATTTCAATTGATAGCAAGCGCAAAATTAACTGATCGAGTTTGAGCTGAATGCAGAGGGCATATCCTTGGATGAGAAGTTTGAACGAGTAATTTAGGAGAAAATGTTTGAAAATGTTACGTCTTGTTCTTGCTAGTTTATATTTATAAATGAAAAGGAATGTAAAATGAAGTTTAATTAGGTAAGTATAAATGATAAAAATTTATTTAATAAAATCAATTTATCAAGAATAGCGTTCGAAGTAAATGTTGCTGTGAATTTACTAAGGCTAAATTAAAATATTTAAATTGTAAAACGATTATTCAAAAATCTCAATGTCATGCATTTTGACGTTTATACTTTCTTTTAAAGGATATAATATACTAATTTATTATATGAAATTAATTATTAATGTTGTATAAATATTTATTAATTGGTTCGTTTGCTAAATGGATTGTTGGCAGAACATGTTCGAATAGGTACAGTATAATTGAGACTGCTTGCAACCTCGACTCTTGGAAATATACCGGAAAAATCTCTTTATAGCAACTTTATTTTTAACGACATCAAATAGATTAAATGGATTATCATTAAAAGGTTAATAGACTTGTATATTGGACCAGAACATGCGTGTAGCTTGATTTAGAATTTAATGAAAAATAGTTAAGTTTTAAGTTATATTTTATTTAATTTTTTTTTATAACGTCGTAATAGATTCTTGTAATTCAGTTTCAGTTCATTGGGAAGAAAAAAATCTCATTATAAAATGATGTGAACGAAACCAATATCCTACCTCAAACAACTCGATTATTTTAGTCTTAACGAATGAAAGAAAGTACTGGACTTTACAAAGTAGTCCTTTTTTTTAAAAGTTCATAATTTATATATAAATTTTCTGGTGGTGGTTAGCTTATTAAATTTTCAGAAGAGTTCAACGTTCTAAGTGACAATTACATATTAAATACAAAATAAAGAGAAGTTGTGGAGGGTTAGATCAGATTCGATCGCAAGAGAGTCTGATAGCTAAACTTATACCATCTGAACATTATTATTCTGCTAAAGCTTACTCTCGAGCTTCAGAGAAATTGAGCACATAGCTTTGCAGAGTCTCAAGAAGATAATCCCACCAAGAGAAATCACCAAAACCTAGAACATGATAATGTTCCCCTAGACCCCACAATTCATGGTACCAACAAATACTAGAATCACTTCTGTCCACAATGAAGGAGATATTAGTATTTACCGTACCAAATAATAATAAAAAAAAAAATTACCTTTGAGTTGTAATGACTTCAAACAAGGCGATTCGAAATTTTGCAAAATCTGAAATTTGTATTAAGTTATAAATTATTTATAAAAATCTAATTATAGGGAGCGTAAAAGCAGGCTGATTTAGTCAGAACTCAAGAGATAGAGAGAAAAAATATACAAGAATTGTTTAAACGTATATTTTTATTAATAAAATCACATGATTCGTGTAACATGTAACGTGAGATCGGAACGAAAAAACCTACATAAACATTAAGAACTTTCCTTATTACGTAGTTCGAAACATGGAAAATTTAAAGAAGAAATATTAAAAAAATTCCATTGACTCATCACTTCATATCTTAACCGAATCCACAACATTTACAACAAAAGCTCCAATAAATTAATTTATAGTACCAGAGCATATTCAATCAGCATTACTAGCGAAAGCAACCTATCTGGTTTAGAATAGATAAAGATAAAAAGGACTTTTTGATTCGAGTGGTAATATATTTTCAACAAGTTGTTAAATTCAACCGATAAAAGTTATTAATGAAAAGTTGAATTTTCTTTCCATTGTAGTTTATACCAACATTCACTTCTGTAATTTCTATACTGACAGGAGGAGCCTAAGTAAATGAAGGCAAACTTGTATCCATTGTGATCAGAGATATAAATTAAACACTTATTTGAAATGATTTTTTCTATTTAAAACTTTTTAATAGTTTTGACTCGTTTTAGCATACTGATGACTGTAGATATCAACAAAATTACTTAACCCTGGATCAGCTCGCAAGGGAGTTGCAGTAAATATATTACCTGTATCTAATGTTAAATTATGTCAAGAAGAAACTGTTGAGGTTGATGTATCAGAATCAAAAGTTGCTGAAATATCGAAATATCGAAAATTTACTTATTATTATTGCATAGGTTAATGAGCCATATTGAATTTATAGTAGCTATTGTCGGCTTACTTCTTTAAGCGATATAATTTATGTAAGTAATTTTTTAAAAAATAAAATGATTTTTAAGCTAAATTTCACTAGATACCTATTTAACTTGCTTAACTAACGCGAAATATCAGGACAGGATCATTTGAGTATCACGTGATATGACGTTCGATGACATATGACAACGTGACATATGACATACTTTTTATAAACCTCTCACTTTCTCTAACGGTAAATTTTTTTTTAAAAATAAACTGAATAATATTTTCACAAAAAAACTGAGAGAAGGAGGAACCGTTTATGTATTTTTTATTCGACATAATTTTAACTACCAACCAACCAACCCCACGACCATCTATCTATGAAAACCTTATTACGCACCTAACACTTGATTCTTGTTTTAGAAAGTAAGCTGTAACCTTCATTTCATAGTTTTGGAATATTTATGTAGAATCTGCTCTTTGTCACTTGTATTAGTCATTTCCATACTAACTATTATTACCTTAAAAAAAGAAAATAATGAATGAAATACGAAGGCAAGGGAGAATTTTTGAAGAAATGTCGATTATATTTACAGGTATAGAACGTTCCATGTCGTAGATTAAACGTAATACTTAATGCATGTCGGTAGTCCCTCGGGCTTTGATTCGGTATTCCCTGGTGGCATTACCAGTGTCCCAAGCCATAGACAAAAT